CAGAAATGGCATTTGATCTTAAGGCAAGGTATAATTTTGTGATTAAGTAAAAAGAATTGAATTTTACTTCTTTCTGTTTTTTCTGCTACATTTTGCAATATGATTTCCACTATAAATTTAACATACAAACATAAACTTATGAAGTGCAGAATGCAGATGTAGCTATCAAAGACTTACTTCCATGCTGCTTATTAATTGTTGGAATAATGTTTGTATCTTTTCAGATGTAGAAAAAATACTCTTGTTTCTGGAGTGTTAGCCCACATGATTTGCCTATGAATTCCATTCATAATATACAAATTGAATATATAGTCTGTATACATTATATGTAATATTTACTTCACATATGTTAAATTTTATAGCATATAGCACCTATGTTTATATGAGATATAGGAATAACAATAAATATTGCTTATCAACTCTCAAGCAGAATTGAAGCACTAGTATAATTACATATAGAAACAAATAAAACACATCCTTCTCCATCTTTAATTCAAATGTGCGTGGATGCATACAGAGCACATATTCAGACAAAAGTGCACAACTGACCTGTGTCTAGATATATAGATATTGTATCTGGCAAGTAAAGGTGGTATTATATAAGTGAAATGATACGAAATGTACTCTTTCATATATGGTTCCCTCTAGTTACAATTATTTTGAGATTTTGCATGGGGTTGAAGTTTTCAATAGATCTTTTCTTTTATTGATGCAATGTTAATTCAGTATATAAACATACTGCAATTTGTGTCCCTTTATTACACTTGAGTATTTTTATTTGTGTATGTAAATTATACAAAGAGTTTCACTGTGATATGCGTACATAAGCTTTGATTAAATTCACTTCACTCTATTAATATTTCATATTCTATCCCCCTGTTATCAGTTTTAATGGGTTTCATTATTTTAGTTTCATTCATGAATATAAAGTGCTTCAATCATATTCAGTTTTCTAATACAAAGAACGCTGATAAAATCACTCATTTGTTAACCATTATGCATATCATTTAATATCTCTTAAGTAAATAGATTGTAATTAACTGTGAGTTAATAGGGCAGGAATATATCGATGTTCATTTTTTCCAAATTGCATTCTAAAATGAACATAACATTTTACATAACCAGCAGTGCATGTGTTCAGATTATTCAATTTTTCCACTAACAATGGCTATTACTACTTATTTAATTTGTGTGCGTTTTTGTTATCAGTATGTCACAGTATCCCATGTTGGCTTTAGTCCTTATTTTCCTAAGAACTAGGGATCTTGAGTATTTTTTCATATGTTAGATTTTATCTGTTTAAACTTCTTCTCAGTTTTATTTACCTGCTTGTTTATTTATTATTGAGTCTTTTGTCAGCTATATGGTTTGAAATTTATCTTCTTCAGACTGTGAAGATACCTACAAATACATACAAATGGGTGTACAGGTATATGTGTAACACATATGTACTGCACATATCTAGAATATATTGCATTTATGTATACAAAGAACAATACTAAAAATCTCAAAATAAAGTTTCTTCCTAATTATATTCCATATTACTGTTCCAGATACATTTTTCTATATAAATACTACCATAACATATTTAGCTTAAAATAAATTTTACTAGGCAACTTCACTGCTCTGTTTATGTTGCCTGAGTTCACATCGTGGCATTCAGCTGAGGGATGACACAGGTTGTAGCTGATACCCAGTTGAAAATGCAGTCTAGCAGGTCCTCTTTTCCTCCATATGTATTTTCTGAGTGGCTCAGATTATTTACCCTGAATGTAATTTTGGTTATAGATAGCACTTCTTGCCTCTCACAAACTAATTGCTTAAAGGTTATAATAAGCATCAAATAGAGATATCTGTGCCTCTATTCTGCTGGTCAAAGCCATTAAATGACAGCAAATTTATAACAGGAATATAAATAGGCAACATCTCTCTGAGAGAGGTGAGCCCATAAGTGTACACTCATCTTTAGTCTTCTCAAAATGTAATACCCATTGAAGAATTCTGAAATTTCTCACTGCAAATTATTACTCTTAGTTTTTAGCATTTTAATGAAGAGTTCAGTATGTGTGGTCTCTTTTTTTTGCTGCCCATATACGTAAAAGATCCACTGAAAGAAGCAGTGCTTGAACATCACATGAAAAGACTGACAGCTTTTGTAATCAGTCCATTAAGGAAACATGATTACCTCTGGGTATTTGATATAATCCCGGCTGACCAGATACCCCAGTGGGAGACCAGATTCAAACAACATGGAGAATTTTATCACTATCCAGCTGTGAGGATATTTGCAGAATATAAAAGTCATGCTTTTAGTAAGTCTCAATTTTATGAAGAAGAATATGGATAGTACTAAATAAAATTATATTAGGAAAAAATTGGATCTCCATTTTAAAGAAAAATCATCATTTATATAAAATCCTTAAATGAATCATCTTTGCACATATAAGTCATGCTCGTAAGGAAAAACTTCCAAAGCCAGTGTAATTCTTCTCTTTGTTTACAACTTTTCAGTATAAAATGCCTAAAATAGTTGAAGATGAATACTTAGTAATTACCTTTATGAATTTTTACAAGGGACTGTAGGGGATAAAAAAAATAAGCATCGAAGTCTTCCTATATTCTTAAGTGTAATAGAAAAAATGCTTTTAAAAATTTACAAAAAATTAAAATGCTTCACTTAGAGAATATAATATACTAGTAAAATAATAAAATCAATGAAATGTAGACAGGTTTCATGCAGTTGACAGATGACAATATGACAATTCTGAATGAAAAAAAGTGGACTTTAAAGTGTCCATTGCCATGAATGTCCATAGCACTGTTACATGAAGTAGGCAAAACAATGAAGCAACACAATGTACCCTAACTGACTAATGGATGAACAAATGATGTGATATCCAAAACATGAAAGAGAAAAAAATTCTGAAACTTGCCATAATATGGATAGATTTCAAAAACATTATGATAAATGAAAGATTGACACCAAAGCACACATACTGTATCACTCTTTTACATTTAATGCTGAAAATAGATGAACACATATAGCAGAAGGTACTGAAAGGAGAAGGTAAATTGACCACAACCCTGTATGTATTTCTTACTAAGAAAATGAATGTCTATGAAGTAAATTGTAGCAAATGATGCACTCTTTTCTAAGTATTGTAAAAACTAAAGAAATGTTTACTTTAAAAGTGGAGATCCTATGGTATAAAAATAAAAATTAAAAGCAATAATCCAGTAAGATGGTGAAAGTATTTCAAATATGGAAGAAATAAAACAGGGGAACAGAACAGGAAATGATTAAATACTATTTGAGTTCAATTAGTTTCTGCCTCTTCAAGGCAAGCATGATATTTAATACATAGGTCCTACACATTTCACAGTGTATATTTAATTTCTAGTTTTCATTCTGATGTAAATCACTTTGTTGAATAAACTTAAGAATCAAGCTCAACGTTTTCTTAAGATGCTCATGCATTCACAGGGGAAAGTATACAACTAGAAGTGTAATTAGTCACATGTTTGTATAACAAAAAAGCCTAGGGGAAATCTCTTCAGAGATTTAAGTCCCAAATGCTATTTGGTATAAGAAAATACCATCTGGCTAGCATTCTGTTACCAAAGAACTGCTCATCTCAGGTAAGGTCAGAGTTTGAAATTTAAAAAATTATAACTGAAAAATACCTCTTAGGAAAAAAACTGATCCATTTGTAAATGGATCATTTTATTCCAGCTTACTTAGGTCAATAAAATCTAAGGCCTAAACCAAAAATGCTCTTTTCTTCTCAGAACTGGAAGATTTTGACTGGACTTATTAGTATCCACAAAGTAACACTTAAAAAACTATAAAAAGAGGGCTGATGGGTAAGAAACAGTAAAAAAGTGAATTTGATATAATGTACTTTGATACATATTGAAATTTGCAATGTAAACCCTTTGTGCAATTAATACAAATTAATTCAAACTGCAGAAAAATAAGGTTTTACTTAGTTTCATCTAGTATAGGTTCATAAGCAAGCATTTTCTCATTTTATCACTGTGTAGGTAAACACAGGAATTTAAAAATTTTTTTTCATTTATTTCTTTGTTCAATTAATAGATGATTGAATTCCCACATTAAAAATAGCAATATGTGAAAATTCAACTCCATGTGAGCCACATACCGTAGTCACTTAGGCCAAATAGACATAAAAAATTCCACACATATCCATCTACCGTGTTTGATGTGTCAAGTTGCAATAAAAATTATATGAAATGCAAGTACATTATATATTGATTGACCACATATACTTAAAAAAGAGAAGCCTAAATACCTCTGAAATTGCCTTTAATCCTATTGCGATTTTTTAAAGGAAACTGTCCATTCAAAATCTGATATGAGGCAAATATATGTGTTAAATTATGATTTTTCCACTTTTATTTTAGCATTACTCTTTGAATGATCTAATGTTTTGACTTTAGACTACACCCCTCCCCAAAATACACAATGAGATTTGTGGAAAACTACAATCCAATTCAAGAGGAAAAAAATAACTATTTCATATCTACTCAAATACTAAAGACCACATAATTCAAGAAAAAAGAGAATGGTAATGTAATCATTTGAATTTTCACTAATCAGTGATAAACTCGTTTCTAGAACTAACACAATTTTCCTTTAAACCAATCATGAACTTGGAAGAAAAAATTGTAATTTTTTTCTGTGCAGCTGAGTGTTTTATATAACAAATGCTTAATGCTTTATCTTTAAGACTAATTTCTCTAAAATTGATATTTCATCTATAGTACTTTGAAGATTTAATAAAATTTCAGTATATCTAAATATATTTTTTTTAATTAAGCAGCAGTGAAGGGGGTATTTTTTTCTGAAGAGAATAAAAAGATAAGACAGACACAAACTGTGGTGATCTTTACAGATATTTCACTGATGTGAGGAAGAGCTAAATATGTACCTAACTTCTTTTGATTTTGTTTATTAAAGTTTACACAAGAACTAGAAGATGGACAAAGGAAATTGCTCCTCCTTCAATGAATTCATTTTCTTGGGAATTACTAGTGACACAAACATCAAAGTAACCCTTTTCACCATGCTTCTACCTGTTTATCTTATTAACATTATGGCAAATCTTGGAATTATCATTTTCATCAGAATGGATTTCCAGCTTCACACACCAATGTATTTTTTCCTCAGCCACCTCTCTTTCTGTGACCTCTGTTATTCCACAGCAGTTGGACCCAAGATGATGGTGGATCTATTGGCCAAGAAGAGATCGATTCCTTTTCTTGGCTGTGCTCTACAATTTTTCATCTTCTGTATCTTTGCAGATGCTGAGTGTCTACTGCTGGCAGTGATGGCCTTCGACAGGTACATGGCCATAAGCAACCCCTTGCTGTATACAGTCCACATGTCCAGCAGGGTGTGTGTCTCTCTTGTGGTTGGAGTTTACCTGGTGGGAATGGCAGATGCTTTGACACATACAACACTGACATTCCAATTATGTTTCTGTGCGTCTAATGAGATCAACCATTTCTTCTGTGATATGCCTCCACTTTTTCTCCTTTCCTGTTCTGACATAGAAATCAATGAACTGGCATTATTTACTGTTTTTGGCTTTATTGAACTGAGCACCATTTCAGGAGTTCTTGTCTCTTATTGTTATATTGTATTATCAGTCTTAAAAATCCGCACTGCTGAGGGCAGGTTCAAAGCTTTCTCCACCTGCACCTCCCATTTAACTGCAGTTGCAATTTTCCAGGGAACTATGCTCTTCATGTATTTCCGGCCAAGTTCTGCTTATTCCCTAGATCAAGACAAAATGAGCTCACTGTTCTACACTCTTGTCATTCCCATGCTGAATCCTCTAATTTATAGCTTAAGGAACAAGGATGTGAAAGAGGCTCTTGAAAAACTGAAAAATAAACTGTATTCAAAATAATTGTATCTTGTCTAGATACACACATATTCACAGTAATGGTTGTTTTTAATGAAATTATATTGGTTGACATTTAAGAAATGAAGTGTTATCCCGTAGTTTAATTTAATAAAATGTGACTGTACTGGTGTTTAATCACAAAGAAATGTAGATCTTCAAACACTTGATGATTCATTATTTGTCAATATGGAAAATTTTCCTTATCCTTCCAATTGTGCTTTAGTTTTATTTGTTTATTTTTTCCTTTACCTTCTATCATGCCACTGTTCAGTGGATTTTTACTAGTTACCTTTTTGCATATTTACATATCCTATATTTCATTACAAATCCAGTAATTTATGTCCTAGTGAATTTTAATATACAGAGAAAGTAGCAGACTTTAAATGAACATTTCAATAATTCATAATGAGCCACAAAAATGTATTGTAACATAAAGACTGTAGAATATAATACAAAGCAAAATGTTCAACTCTAGTGTGCTACAGAGAGGCTTCACAAGACAAAGGTATTAGGTTTAGAATTGAAAAGGTGAATGCTGGACAGAAGAATGTATGCTAGCCAGAAGGTTTAAAAAATAGAGAATTTGGGGGGTAAATAGATCCCTGATACGTGGAAAGCAATAATGGGGTCCAGACGTAGGGCTTCATGCTTGCTAAGCAGATAGTCTACCACTTAAGCCATGTCCTAAGCTCTTACCCACAATCTTTTCACATTGCTCATAGGAACACTGTTATGATTCATCTCAGCATCTGTTGAGATCCTACCCTAACACTGATGGCATCAGGGAGGTAATAAATTCATCACAGCAGAGCCTTTGTAAAATGGTTTTTTGCCCTTAAAACACAGGCCTGGAGATATTCATAATCCACTCTCCACAAGGAGAGAACAATTAAGAGTAATAGATGGGATGAATTTGATCAAAGTACTAACATGCATTATGGATATACCCCAATGAAACTCCTTTGTATAATTAATATCTGCTAATGAAACATCTATTTAGCTTCATATTGTCTTCATTTGTTAAATGTAGTGGATTGAACTAAAGAGAAAGAAAATTTGATTCCCATAAAAGGATGACCAAAAATACCATACTCTGATCCTGTAAATTTCTCTCTAAAACTATGAAGACAAATTCCAGTATGTGGAAGTATTTTAAGCAATTTATGACTGAAGTAGATGCTTGGGCAGATGTTCCACATTGGCTGTTCTAAGGTGGGATTCTAAAGAATTGTGGAATACAGCATCAAAGACTTGCTTGATCCTAGAGTGACTAGTGCAAACTTTACCTTTTCATTCCCCATAAATATCTCCAAATTGCAACCTTCTTTCTTGTCAAGTGGTTACTGGTAGCAAGTATTGTTGTCCAAATACCATCCAGGAGGTGACTTTTGACAAAGTTAATAGTTTAGTTTATTATGAATATCTTAACTCTGTCCTTCATCCTTACTACTATAATATTTAAGTACAAGAATACTAAAGAAAGGGCATGATTGGCTATATGTGATATAAATTCTCCATTAATCTTCTTTTACATAAAGAATGAATTAATATAAATTATATACAATGCTTTCTCCAGGGGTCATATTGTATTTCTATGATTTATAAATATATTACCATTTAAAACAATTTCAATATTTTGATAAGTTTGAGAAATATGAGTTACTTTGTATTTGTACAAAAAATTTTACTCCATAAGTAGTCTTTTTGACCTGAAAACAGTAGCAATGATGCGAGGTAGGTATTCTCACAAAGGTAAAAAATTTAAATTGCAGCCGTTGTGAAATTATTGCAGTATTCTCAAGGGAAAAGTCTGAGGTAAGACTTTAATTCATCATGTTACATAACACAAAACAGTGAAGACGAGGGTTTAGGAAATTTAAGACCTGAAAGTCACTAGGTGAAAACAAAACATGCTCTACATATCATTCAGGTATTGGGATAAGGACAGAAAAAATTGCCCACATAAGTTAGGTTTCTGAATCATCATATAGATAAAATAAGATTTTACTTTCATTGGGAAAATGAGGAATAAAGTATTGAGGAATTTATAAACATTATATACTTTCTCATTTTAGCATATTCTGCAATCTAATGACCAAATGATTTTATCTTGATAGATACATTTGACTGACCTCATTTGTGATTTTGGTAAATATTGTATAATTTTTGTGTATTCATATATTAATAGGGATTCATGTGTAAACACGCTTTTAAAATCACTCTGCAAGCAGAATAAATTTAAAATTTTTAAATGTAAATTTAAAATTTTTCTAGTTTTACTGTAAATAACCATAATGCACACTACACAAATACCAGCATGTACAAACTCAAGTCCATTTGAAACACATACTGTAGTTTAGTTTAGAAGTCATGAGTCAGACTGCCATCTGCATTCCAAATTTTATACATAAATAACATAAAAACACAGACACTTCCTGACGTGCACATAAATGTAAACATAAATAAAAGAAGCAGAATCTTATATAGAGTAGAAACCATTTCCTGTCTTTCCATTTCCATTTTAATGTAAAATTCAAATGAAGCGTATTTGTTATAGGCTGTGATTTCCCTTATGATATCTGTTTATTTTCTAGGAATTTGTCCTTTGGAATCAGGTGAATTATACAAACGAATTATGAAACTATGAAAAATCAGTGTTGACAGTGGTAGAATAGCTCAACAATATTTATTTGACTTTTTAAGAAACCCTAGACACTAAAGGCATTATCATAATAATATTGTGTACCAAATTATACTCTATATCATTCTCAGGTATAAAAAATAATTTGTATTTCTGGAATAATGAACTATTTGTAGTCCTATCCATCAAGCATATGAAGTGTTTAATCTTAACATTTTCTAGCTCTTTAATATCAGTTTGGATTGGATAGCAGCTTTTAATTTATTCTAATGTATTATTTGAGAATGGATGTTATTATCCATGAAATGACACATATTTCAGGAATTATATGCAAATTACAATCAGAGGTGATAAATGTGTATATATGGCATTTTTTATGTTTTAATGATAATGCCCCTTTGACACTGATACATTCCTAGGCTATTTTATATGGGAAAAGACATCAATTTATAGACAAAAATCATCTTCTGCTTCATAATAATATTTGTTGGATGTGGAGAACCATCATCCCTAATCTATCATCCTATTAATAATTTTCTAACAGATTATAAAAAAAGAGCAAAGAAGAATGGATATTGGAAATTGTTCATCACCAACTGAATTCCTTCTTTTAGGAATTACCAATAATCCTTGGATGAGAGTGGTTCTGTTCACTGTGTTTCTACTTATATCCCATTATTCTCATTGCAAATATTGGAATGATCACTGTAATCCCAATAGATTCCAAATTTCACAGTCCTGTGTAGATTTTTCTCAGTCACCTTTCTTTCACTGACCTCCGTATTCTTCTACAGTTGGGCCCAAGATATTAACGGATCTCCTTTGCCACGAATAAGTCAGTTCCCTTTGTTGCTGTGCCCTGCAGTTCTTCATCTTCTGCATCTTTACAGATGCCGAGTGCATGATGCTGGCAGTGATGGCCTTCGACCGATACAAAGCCATCAGCAACCCTTGCTCTATGTGGTAGACATGTCCAGCATGTACGCACTCAACTGTTGGCTGGAGTTTACCTGGTGGCAATGGCAGATGCTTTGACACATACAACATTGACATTCCGCTTATGTTTCTGTTGGTCCAATGACCTTAATCATTTCCTCTGTGATGTCCCTCCTCTCCTCTTACTATCTTGCTCAGATACACAGGTCAATGAGCTAGCGATATTCACCATCTTTGGTTTTATTGAACTGAGCACCATTTCAGGACTTCTTGTTTCTTACTGTTATATCATCTCATCAGTCTTAAAGATTCATTCTGCTGAGGGAGGCTCAAAGCTTTCTCCACCTGCACATCTCATTTAACTGCAGTTGCAATTTTCCAGGGAGCTATATTTTTCATGTATTTCTAGCCGAGTTCTTCTTATTCCCTAGATCAAGACAAAATGAGCTCACTGTTCTACAGTCTTGTGATTCCCATGACAAACCCTCTAATTTATAGCTTAAGGAACAAGGATGTGAAAAAGGCTCTTGAAAAAATTTAATATAAACTATATTCAAAATAATTGTCTAATGTAACATGTACATATATTTATAGTGGTTGCTTTTTGAAATTATATTGCATGACATTTAAGAAAGAAATTGCTGTTCCATGGGTTCATTTAATAAGATATCATTATACTAGAGTTTAATAATAAAGAAATGTTGCAAAACCTTAAACATGTCATGAGTTTTTGTCTTTAAATAATATGTAGTATTTCTTTATTGTGGAAATTTTCCTGGTCCTTCCAATTGTCCCTAAGTTTCATTTGTTTATTTTTTCATTTAACTTCTATTATGTTAAGATTTAGTAAATATTTTTCTAGAAGACTTTTTGCATATTTATATCTTACATTTCATAACCAATTCAGTAATTCATTCACCAGTGAATTTTATACTCTAAATAAGATAAAAGGCTACAAAAGAACATGCAAATAATTCACAATGACCCCCAAAACAGTATTGAAATATAAAGACTGTAGGATATAATCCAAGGCAAAACTTCCAACTTCACTGTGGAGGGGAAAGGCTTCAGTGGATGAAGACACGAAGTCTTACAACTAAAAAGGTGAATGTTAGAGAGAGGAACAGACACTAACCTGATGGTCTGAGAAATAGAGAAGTGTTGAGGTAGACAGGTCCCTGTTACATGGAAAGCAAAACTGGGCTTGGATACAAAAAGCAAATATGAAGACACTGAGAAATACCGCTATGTGATGAAATTATCAGCCATCAACTCCTCCATCATTTCTTCCAGGAAATTTTCCTTCCTTCTTTTCTAATTTATATCCCTAGAAAATATTCATCTTGTTCACAATCACCAACTTAAACCATTATTTAATGTTGTCATAATTCTTACATCATTATCTCCACTAGAAGAATAGAAACATATTTTACTCAAGCATTTGATTCCTCTAATTCAAACCATTAGTATGTTTGGAAACAAAGAAGAGAAAAAAATATAATGCCTGACAGCATACCATTTTTGAGTGCTTTTTAAGTGTTGATAAGAAACTAACTGAGGGTATGGTATGTGACAGGCAAACACTCATAAATATATAATGTACCTTTTTAAGACAGTAGACAAAATAATTGTTAATACTAAGGCAATTACTCAAAATAAATGGACATTAACTGCATTAAAATTAACAATGATGCATCTACATCTTTCATATTCATCTTCTTTTGTCTTTTTCTACTTGAAATTTCAGATGTCTTAAGCCATGTCTCAGCTTCTTGATAAAACATGAAAATGGCTATAATACACATAGACACTTTTAAATATGCATTACAATTAGAGAAGCTAAAAGTCACTAGATACCTTAGGTTTCTTGATTTTAGTGAGAAATAGTTTTATGACACTTCAGAATACATGTAAAGGCCAAGCAGCACCTTTGCTTTCAAGGTAGGGTATGGTAAATACGACAATTTAGGAGAAGGCGTGAGGGTGCAAAATACCCATGAGAGATACTAACTTTAGATAAAGTGCTTTATTAGCTTCTACCTCTATAATATTTTCTTAATTTGCCCTTAGTCTTCCATTTTTTATGGTACCATGTAAAGCCAGTGAAAATCAGGCAGTCTATGGACACAGAAATAGACTCTCCCTAGACACTGAATCTCTCAATGCTGTGATTTGGGACATCCAATCTCTAGAATGTTGAGAAATGATTTTTTTTGTTGTTTATAAGATATCCAATCTATAGTTTTCTAATATAACACATCCTTCTCTCATATATGCTTTACTTTATCATTAAAAGACATATTTGTTTAAATCATTTGCCCATTTATTAATTGGATTATTTCTTCATGGGGGGCACATATCATAAGGATTATAAGTCAACACACAATAGAGAGACCTGCACACAAATGTTTATAGATGCACAATTCACAGTAGCCAAGTTTTGGAATTAGACTAGGTATCATTCAGCCACTGAATTGATTTTAAAATTTGGTATATATACACATGGAGTATTATTATTCAGCTATAAAATTCATAAAATTATTTCTTGTAGGAAAATATATGGAACCAGAAATCATCATGTTAAGAGAAATAAACCAGACTCAGAAAGAAATGTCACAAGTTTTCTCTAATATGTAGAATTTAGACCTCCCCAAAATAGATGATTGTCAAAATGTACCTGTTTGGTTGTGGAGAACAAGGGTGATAAGACCAAAGGATAAGGTGATAGGAGGGAAGAATGTGATTGACACACATTATAATTCACATATGAATATAGAATAATAAATCAAGTTACAAACTGTATAAAGTGGGGGATGAAGTAATTCAGAGTAATAGAGGTAATAAATCTGATCAAAGCACATTATATGTATATATGGTCATCTCACAATAAAACTTGTATAATTAATATGTGTGAATAACTTATATGCAATTCATATTGGCCCTATTGTTACATGTAGTGGATGTGAACTAAAGAGAAGGAAAATGTGAAAGGCTGATGAAAAATACCATACTCTAGTCTTATTGTAACCTTCATTTCTCTGAATTTATGAAGTAAAACTCCATTATTTGGAATAGTTGACTGAAATAGAAGCTTGGGCAGATGGTCCATATTGGCTGTTCTAAGTTGGGGTTATAGACTTCTGGAATACAACACTGAACACTTTGTTCTATCCTACAGTGACTACAGCAACCTTGATCTTTTCTTCCTCATCAGTATCTCTAAATTGCATCTTCTTTCTTATCAACCAGTTACTGATGATAAGTATTGTTGTCTAAATATCATCGTACTGATGACTTTTGACAATGTTTGTAGTGCAGTTAACTCTCTGCATCTTAACTCTGTCCTTCAATCTTGCTACTGTAATATCTAAATATAAGAATGAATTAAAAATGTCATGCTTGAGTATATGTAATAAAGGAGTTTCTTTTATGTGAAAGAGGAACTTAATATAGGCCATTTGCAATGATTTTTCCAAGGGTCATATTTTGTGTCTCTGAATTCTACTGCCATGTAAATCCATCACAGTATTGCCATAAATTTGAGAAATAATCACAGAATCTTTGTACAAAAAATTCCATTTCATCTCTAGCCTTTTTTTGGACCTGAGAGGAGTATCACTGGTGCCAGGTAGTTAGTGTCACAAAGGAAAAAACTTGAAATTTCAGTCGTTGCTAAATTATTACACTATTCTCAAGGGAAAATTATGAACCAGGAATCCAATTAATCATTATTAACTAATATAAGAGGGTGAAGGCAGAGGTTCAAGCTTAAGTCCCTACAGTCTATAGGTGGAAATGAAGCATGAACTATATATTGTTCAGGTACAAGGGATAAGAGCAGAAAGACTTTCTTACCTCGGGTAGGTACTGTATGGCTATGCTTATGTAATAGAGGGAAAATACAATTTTACTTTCATTGAAAAATGAGGAATGATGTATTAAGGAATTTGTAAATATTATCTACTTACTCAGTTAAATGTAGTCTGCAATCCAATGACCAAATTAAATTTCTTTGTTAAACATGGGCGATTTTTTGACTGACTTCCTTTTTCTTTATTGTGAAGATTTTATTATATTCATACTTTAGTCAGGATTCATAATTAAAACGTCCTTTCAAAATCATTCTGCAAGTGACATGGTGCATGTAAAGTTAAAGGTTCTCGTACTTTTATTTAAACAATAATAGTGAACACAAGCACCATTATGTGTAAATAATAATGAATACAAGCACCAAATAGTGAATACAAGCACCATAATGTGTAAATGCAAATCAATATGAACTGCATACTATAAGAATCAGACTGCCATCCACATTCCAAATTTTAGATGCAAATAACATGACAAACATACAGATACTCCCTGAGATGTGCATATAAATGTAAACATAAACACAAGAAACAGAAACTTATATCGCAGAAACCATTTCTTGCTTGTTTTTCGATTTTCATTTTAATGAAAAATTCAAGGTAATTAAGTGTATTTGTTTTAGTTTGTGGTTTCTCCTTCTCTTTATGACATATGTTTGGTTTTTCAAAGAATTTGTCCTTTGGAATCAGGTGAATTATACAAGGAATTATAAAATGTCTGAAAACCAGTGTTCAGAGTGATAGAATAAATGCATAAATAATATCTGACTTTTCAAAAAGTCAAAAGATGCTAAAGATAGTACCAAAATAATTTTCATTTACCAAATTGCGTGCAATATTATTCTCAGTGTTAAAAACAAAATATATTTTGAATAATGAAATAAATGAGATCCTAGTCTTACTTTTTCTGGCTTTTCTCCTTAACCTTGGTTTTTCTTTAATGTCAGTTTGGATCTAGTGCCAGTTTTTAGTTTATTCTAGTGTATTATCTGAGAGTGAATGAAAAGTCACATATCTCAGGAAATATATGTAAATTACAGTAAGAGGTGATCAACTTATGTTAGCCATTTTTATTTTTAACTGACAATGCCATCTTTGAAATTGGTTTTTCTCTGGGCTATTTTATGTGAGCAAAGAAAACAATTTACAGATGCAAATCATGTTCTGCCTTATAATAATATTCATTGGATGTGGAGAACAATAATCTCTAATCTGTCACCCTATTGATCATTTTCTAGTAGTTTTTAAAAAGAGCAAAGAAGAATGAACACCAGAAATTGCTCATCACCAACTGAATTCCTTCTCTTGGGATTTACCAATAATCCTTGGATGAGAGTGGTTCTCTTCACTGTGTTTCTACTTGCTTATCTCGTTATTCTCATTGCAAATATTGGAATGACCATTTTAATCAGAATGGATTCCCAACTTCACACTCCTATGTACATTTTTCTCAGCCACCTTTCTTTGGCTGACTTTTGCTATTCCACTGCAGTTGGGCCCAAGATGCTGGTGGACCTCCTTGCCACAAATAAATCAATTCCCTTTGTTGGCTGTGCCCTGCAGTTCTTCATCTTCTGCATCTTTACGGATGCTGAGTGCATGCTGCTGGCAGTGATGGCCTTTGACCGGTACAAGGCCATCAGCAACCCTCTTCTCTATGCAGTAGACATGTCCAGCAAGGTTTGCTCCCAATTGCTGGCTGGGGTTTACCTAGTGGCAATGGCAGATGCTTTGACACATACGACATTGACATTCCACTTATGTTTCTGTGGGTCTCATGAGATTAACCATTTCTTCTGTGATGTTCCCCCTCTCCTATTATTATCTTGCTCTGATACACAGGTCAATGAGCTAGTGATATTCACAGTTTTTGGTTTTATTGAACTGAGCACCATTTCAGGACTTCTTGTTTCTTATTGTTATATCATCTCATCAGTCTTAAAGATTCATTCTGCTGAGGGGAGGCTCAAAGCTTTCTCCACCTGCACCTCTCACTTAACTGCAGTTGCAATTTTCCAGGGAACTATGCTCTTCATGTATTTCCGGCCAAGTTCTGCTTATTCCCTAGATCAAGACAAAATGAGCTCACTGTTCTACACTCTTGTGATTACCATGTTGAACCCTCTTATTTATAGTTTACGGAACAAAGATGTGAAAGCAGCCATCAAAAAGCTGAGAAATAAAATTTTAGGGCAAGGTATGTAACACAAATTCATACATATTTATATTATTCCCATATATATCTTTCTTCACATTGTGTGTTTTAATATGTTGTTGTCATTACTACTTTAAGTTAATATAATATGTATTTTACAAAAATACCACAAAGGTCATTTGGGGTTTCTTAAATATGCTGCACTTCATGATGTGTTCAAAGTGAATAATGTACTGAAACATTCTATAACATTGCAGTTTCAATGTTGGTGTTTTTGTCTATGTGAATTAATTTTATTCAAGTAAGAGTTATTGAGTGGTTAGTATGTTACATTTACACTGATCTGAACTTTGTATTTAATCTTGAAATAATATCTATGGTAATTAATCCTATAGAATAACAGAAATTAGAATCATTAACCAAACATACTAATAACTCAAATAAAGTACAAATACCATGAAGTCAAAGAAAGCAGTAATCAAAGTACATGAAAATGTCCTTACCTAGACAGCAATAAAGAAAGTATTCTTTGAAATGGGGACATTTAGCTTTAGAGCTAAATGATAGATGTATCCCATCTGAGTGATGGTGGAGAGAACAAGGGATTTTTACATGCAGAAACTGACATGGAGAGATTATGAGGAGCACATAAAAGATCTTTTAGTAGAAAACAAGTCCAATGTAAAAAAGAAGAAAGCACAAAGTGGCTTTACTTGCAGTTCCCTAGTGATTAGTGATGGTGTACATTTTTCTTGTATTTTTCAAAATGTGTATATTCAAATGTTTTATACAGATTTATTCACATCATTTGTGTTTTATTTGTATTGAGTTTTTTGTATACCATAGGAAAAAATAAAATCAGGCTTTCTACTGTCCATTTTGCTCCAGTTATTTTGGAGATGGTGGTCTCATGAAATACTTGCAAAGGCTGACCTCAAACTGTGATCCTCTTCATCTCAGCCTCCAAAGTACCTAGGACTATAGGCATGAGCCACTGTTGCCTAGCTATTTTTGAAGTTTTTAGTTTGTTTCATAAAGTTTATTTCATACATGTATATAACGTACTTTGAACATTTTAGCTGCCTCTCATCTGAATGACAAATATTTGAGGTATAAATATGCTCATTGTTCTGATTTGATCACTGCAATATGTATATATGGCTCTTAAAATTACACTGTACACCATAAATTTTTACATTTTTGTGTAAAAATAAAATGAAACAAGTTTGCAAATTGAAGCACCCCTATGAAGTCGTCTTCTGCTTAAATTCTCAACCCAGTACCTAAGTTTTTCTCACCTTCCCTCTGTCAGGCCTGGTTAAATGTCCATGTTTTTGATTCATAAATTATGCTCTCCAAAAATCTTATTAAACTATTACCTCCAATATGAGACTGTGAACTTTCTTTACTCAATGCAGCATGTTTTATACCTGTCCTTCCATCACTGGCATTGTGACAGACAGGAAAAGGAAAAACAAATGAATAATTCAAACTCATGTAATGCAATGTTAAGTGCTAATGAGATATCAAATTGTGATTAAATGTAGTTATAACATGTACTATGAATATGTATTTTGTTTATGATGAAAATAAATAAAATGATTGTGAATCATTTTATGAATCTCTAATAGGGTCTGATTTATTCACACAGGAAGTATAGAACATTCATCTGGATGTTTTCTTTTTTTTTTTTGGATGTTCACCTATATCTTCTGGCTCTGCTCAATTTTATGATGAGAAATCACTGAAGGAAGGTTTTAGAAAAAATGTACACTTGGCCAAGAATTTGAAGGACAATATAATGACCACTGAAATTCTTAATTTTCATTACAACTGAGGCAGCTAAGACATTGAATGTCTTATGTTTTCCAGCTACCGTTATAAAATGCTCTGATGTGAAACATTTCAGAATGGAAGTACAACCCAAAGCTTTTCTTGGGTACCATTTCATGGATTATATGGTCGGCCCCAATAAAAATTGTCATGTAATATGATAGGGTATTTTACATGTTTCTTTTTAAGTGAAGTCATTCAGTTTGTATTCATTTATGTCTGGATACTTTTATTTATTTTCTAATGTGAAATTCTTCCATACTATTGTATGTGATGACAGTTGTTTCCTTTTCAGTCCGATCTGCCATCATCACAAATAAACATAACACTTGATGTTATTTATCAATGACAAGCAATGTTATTTTGATCATTTTTACAAGCTTTGTATATACTATGCATTCATTTCTATTTGGCATAAAATAAGGGATGGAATTTTGTGTATTTTCAAGCATTTATGTGTATTTCCAAATATGAGACAATCTACCAAATCATTTTCCATGGAATTCTAATTCTGACTTCTACTGATAACATATCTGAAATGGTGGTTATGTTTTGGTTTTTGTCTAGGCTTTGGGTACAGGACTATTTTCATTTCTGAAAATTCACTTGCTGTTTACTTTTTAGAAAGTTGGACATTAGTTTAATATACTTTAAAAAGATTTGTATACTTAAAATATTAAAATATTTCAAGAAGCAAATGCTACTTACAATGAGATTATAGGATTCCATTACCACTTTTAATGTGTCTACTATGTTTCCTGTACATAAAGCATATTAAAGCTAAGGTTAAACAAATAAGGAATGATAAAACTCTCATTTAATATTTCATAAAATTAATTTCCTTTATGTTACTGAAAATGTGCTACGTTGCCTATACCAAGGAGCCGTTAGGAATCTGTGGGCACTCCTTTTCTGCCTTGGAGAAGTCAGAAGAGCCTGATATTCTTTGGTAGCAGTACATGCTTTGAACTTACTTGTGTTTTGCTGATGGCTGCTAGTCAGATAACAATATACTTAAGGAAGATTTTTATAAGTTGACAGTCTTCTATGATTAATATTCTGTCACTTTTGCTACTAGGATTTTCATTTTTGAACTGTGCATGCTGGTGTACACCAGTAATTCCTGAATTCAAGGGCTAAGACAAGTGGATAATGAGTTAGCAATCAGGACGTAAGTGAAACCACATCTCAAAATAAACAGACAAAAAGGGTTTTTTTGTGTGTGTGCTTTCCTCACTTTTTTGTTTCTGTGTATTGAAGTTTACCTTCAAACTTTCAACCCATGTTTATAAAAACACCTGTATCTATTAAAACCCCAATCTCTTTGACAGGCAATTTATACTTTGCAAATTTTTAGGAACTGATGTACAGTCATGCTCTGGTGTAATGGGGAGTGGGAGTTGGACCATAATCATGTAAGGACAGCAGTGTTTATGAAGTTAATATTTGAGCCTCCTTAAACAGAGTATATCCTGGGGAAAGGAGGCCTCCTGAGAGACAAAGAAGCTTGAGTTTTATCTCAGTATTTGTATTTTAGCATTAGAATCATCATACAAAAATGCCAATGAAAGATCAATAGGCAGTAACTTTGTCACTAAAAATCACATTTCTCAAGACTGGAAATTTATTAATGTTATAGCATTTCACCTGAAGTGTTACAGCTTTGTAGAAATCCCAGGGAAAGCTCCATAACAAAAATAAGACATAAATACCACAGTAACAGCCACAAACCCTAAAGCTTTTCACTCTGGGATTTCATAAGAAACATGAAACTACTTGAGGAATTAGGGTGTGTAAACTTTATTTGCCTTTTACATCCTATTAGTTTTGTTTTTGGCACATACTTCATAAGGAGCATTTGTGGCACTTAACCATATTAAGACTCACAATATACAGCTAATACACATGATCATTGCAAAAGGGTGCCAGAGAAAAGAACTGTGAAATGTTCTTGGTAAAGCTTTCTTGTGAATATTTTCACTAATAAATTCATCATAAAAAAGCAGCATAAACACTTAAGATTAACATACCATTTTTGTCTTGTCAACAGTTGAAGAGAACCTAGTATTTCTTAATGTTTTATAAGTCCCTTTTATCCTCCACACTAGGACCCTCTTCTGTAACAATTTAAAATTATAGCAACAACTTATTCAAATGTTCCTTCCTTGGAATGTCTTCTAATACACACTGTGTGTGTATGTGTGTGTGTGTGTGTGTGTGTGTGTGTGTGTATAATGCCATATGTTTATATATATATATAAAATAAAATACTAGCTCAAAACAATTTCTTGAATCATTGATGTAATCATACATCAATATCTGCTGAGTATTGTCCATGTTTGTGAATTAAACTTTACTTCACCATAGAGGAAGAAGTTAATAAAACTTCACTCCTGAGTAAAACTTCTGTTTGCTTTTTGTTTCTCTAAAAAAGTGCCCTAGCCTCAATTCCAAGTTAAAATAACACGCAACTGTGAATCAACCCCTCCTATATCCCAAATGCATTTGAAGTGATTCCTACCACCAACCCAATTATAATATTTACCACAGACAGTGAGGTCTCAGGAAGGTAGAACTATCCTTCCCCAACCATTATTTAATTCAGTAAATTCTCAAGGTCAACAAGAACATGGTGGTTCTAGGCCAGTCCAGAGAAAAAAAGTTAGCAAAATATTTTGCAAAAAGAAGCCAGGATATTGACTCACACTTTCTAATTCCTGCTACTCAGGAGGTGGAAGTAGTAAGATCAGAGTTTGAGACCAGCCTTGAAAAAGTTAGCAGAAGACCATCTCTCTCTCTCTCTCTCAATCTCTCTCTCTCTCTCACTTTCTCTCTCTCTCTCGTGTGTGTGTGTGTGTGTTATTGGAAACTGAATTCAATTTTCCCAACAACATTTGCTGAAGAGATTATGTTTTCTCCAATGTATGTTTTTGGCTCTGTTCTCAAGAGTCAGATGTTTGTAATCCTTACGGGCTTATATTTAGGTCGTCTGTACCATGGTTTACTGGCTTATGTGGTTTTTGTCTTGTATCAATACATTGCCATATTTTTAAATTTTTTATTTTATTTTTGTAGCTAGGTAGTACAATTCCAACATGATTTTGACAATTAAACACATTTCACATTTTCATAGTAGGTTGACAATTATTTTGTAAGCATTCATTCAGCATAAATACTCAAGCCGGATAAAAATATAAAAACTTCAATTTAAGTAAAAGTCATACAAATTTGAGGTGAAACATAAATGAAGAGAATATATTTTCACTGTAGGTTTCCAAAAACTTGAATATAAATATATAGGATGTATGCAGCATAGTTAAAAGCATGACAATATATAAAACTGTAAAACATTACCAAATTATGGTATTTTGCCAAATATTACCATAATGTTAATAATATTCAAATTAGGAATGTCCTGTAAATCATTAAGAAAAAAACACTAATACCTTGTAGAAATATAAATAAATTGTATGGCTAGCAATTTTACAGAAACTAATTGAAAGTATTACTGAAAATTATGTGGTCCTATCCTTTTTTTCTTCAATGGTCCCAAATTTTCTGGTTGAATCATAAAAGAATCTATATCTCATATAAGACGACATTGTGATCTATCCCAAAATGAGAGAAAAAATGTTTTCTTGGTGACTAATTCATTTTATTGAATGCAGCATATCAAATGTAGAAGTAAATGAGAAGGCCAAATCTGCAACCTTATTTTTCTGTTGCTTATGCCTCTCCTTCATGTCCTTCCCAAGTTCTGAATCACACCCTTTATTCCATCTGATGACCAAGATCACCAATCGCTAAGAACTTAATACAGATATCTAAAATTCCTTCTGCAATAAATTGCCCACTAGAGCCCAATCTTAGTTGCTTTGACTAATGACCAAGGAAATTATAAGATTAAATACTTTATAGAAATTGTGGCAAAAGCATTAGTTTTACCATATGATTTGGCATTAGGGAACTTTCCACATCTTGATCAGAAATAGTGGACACCACCTTTCATCACATGAGTTTTACAAATTTTACTCAAAATCAGTGTCACATTCAATTACTTCAATGATATGAAAATAGAGTTTTGGCCATTATTCAAATAAAGAGAGATTTACAGCACACTCTTAGTGTGAGGTTAAGACCATTTTCTTGTGTGAAGAAATGTAATTCCCTAAGAATCCACTGTTCTCTGGGTTTGAGTAGCAGTAGCACCTGCTAAAACTTGCACACCAAATTCCTCCCAGATGCCTTTCTTTTTGACTTCCCTGTATGTTCTGTCACAGAAAGGGAGTGGAGGAAGAGAGGATGGGAAGGAAGTCAGAGAGAACATAAAAATGATTGAAGGAGGAAATTTCTTTTTGATTTTTAAATAACTTTCATTTTGAAACCAATCACCATAGACATGTGGCTCTTTCTATCAGCTTCTCCTCTTATTCTCTTTAGAATTTGGAACAGAAATCTGGCATGAATCATTTTGGGTTCCAAAGTCCCCGTTGAGGCATGCCACTGGAGATTTTAACACTATTAAAGACCGAGTGAACTAAGTATCTTCTGGGGATTGCTCTAAGCTTTCAATGCATGCTTTCAGTATTTGAAAATCCAATATTCTTAAAACACAAAATGAAACTGTATATTTTCTTTATAAAATGCCATATCATACATAGTTCAAACATTACTAGAAACTAAATGAATAGAAACCAAAAGTACAAGTGAAATACACAATGAATATGAAACAGCAAGAAAAAAACCCATGAAAGCATATATACAGCTAGAATTCTCATTCTTATTCATGTACACCCTCTTCATAATTTTTTTCATTAAACAATTACACAAATTCTATTTTGAAAGGAATCATAGTTCCATTATGGACACTGAAATAACTAGTAAATTTTGAATTTCTTGAGACTTGTGATGGCTTTATACGAAACTAAATGGGTATGCCATTACTCATATCTACTTACAACATTACAAAATTAAGAAAATGAAGAAACAAGTTGCAAGTTGAGAAATATGTTTAATCCTATACTTGTAAACTGAAAAGGAGTAAACACAAATGAATCAAATACATTTACTAATAACTACCTAGCTCTGTAGTGCTATTTCCATTGCAACATTACAGCTTCTCTATTAATACCCCCACCTGTCTCTGCTTTGGAATTCTGTGTTCTAGCAATAAAATATTCCCTATTAATATATTTTAGAGCTTAAAATTTTTCCAAGATCATCTTTCATACCCTTGTTCCTCAGGCTATAGATGAGGGGATTCAGCATGGGAATCACTATGGTATAGAACACTGTGGCTACTTTGTCAGCATCCCCACCATTGTCTGAACTGGGTGAACAACAAATAAAAATGATTGTTCCATGGAAGACAATGATGACTGTGAGGTGAGAGACACAAGTGGAAAATGCCTTGCGCCTTCCCTCTGTAGAGTGCATCCTCAGGACAGTGATGAGAATAAAGAAGTAAGAAGTGAGAATGATCATATTGGTAAGGGAATCATTGAAAACTGTCACAATGAAGAGCAGCACCTTATTAATAGTGACATCAGAGCAAGCAAGACTTAAGAGAGGGGGAAGATCACAGAAGAAGTGGTTGATCACATTTGACTTGTAGGTTGGTATCTGGAGGGCTAAACACAAGTAAATCAAAGCACATGCAGAAGCACAGAGGTAGCAGCCAGATATTAGCACCACACAGAGCTTCTGAGACATGATGACTGTGTACAGCAGAGGGTTACAGATGGCCACAAAGCGGTCATAGGTCATCACAGCCAGCAGGAAGACATCAAAGATTACACATGTGCAAAACAGATAAAATTGTACCACGCATTCCAGGAAAGAGATGGCTTTGCTCTTGTTGAGTATGTTAGCCAGCATTTTGTGCACAATGACAGAAAAGTGACTGAGGAAGAAGTACATAGGAGTGTGAAGTTGAGAGCTGACCTGAATCAGGGCAACCATGCCCAGGTTGGTGACGACTGTGACTACATAGATGATAAGGAAGAACAGGGAAAGAATGTCTGTAATGTCAGTGGCATCTGATAATCCAAGGAGAATGAACTCAGTCATGGAAGTACAGTTGTCCCATCCATGTGTCCACTCCAAATGTGTTTGGAGAAAATAATTAAGTGTTTTTCTTTATTTTATGATCTGCAATATAATATTCCCCCTCCTAAAAAAAGATGTTAGAAGCACTATCATAGTTAATCTTTCTGCAAAGAAATAGGAAATAGAAACATGAAATTTAGCATAAACTAAAACATTACATAACAGATATTCAGAAATCACACACAACATTAACATTTGTAAAAATTTAATTCTTTTTTTTTCTTTTATTATTCATATGTGCATACAAGGCTTGGTTCATTTCTCCCCCTTGCCCCCACTAAAAATTTAATTCTTTTGATTGGTTTTTCATATTTAATGTTTGTTGTTGAAGCAAAAAAAGACAAGGTCAAAATACTATTCAATTGGATTTATTGAGCTTTGAAATCTAAATTCCTTTTACCTGGAGGAGTCTTCAAGCAATACTCCAAATATTACGATCTTATGAAGTAATTTTTAAATGTTGGATAACTACCTCTGAGTTTTCCACTGAAATGATAAAAGACTTATTCAATTTTCTTACCCAAAATTGCTTATATTTATTAACATACTTAAATGATGAAATAGCTTTTATCTTCTACATTAGCATTTTCTCTATGAAATTGTTACAGTGTTCTGGTTAATTAAAGCTTTCAATATCAAACATAGTACAGGCAATTAGTACTACTGACTACAACCTTCCTGTAAATATGACTTGTAAGCCTTAAAAAGATCTATTTGCAAATTAATGCTTTCAGTTTATCTGAAGAATTTGCACACCAGAAATTGTCAAGAAAATTGTCTATCAAGAATAACAATGTTATTTATGATACTGTAAATTATAAATAGATTGGAAAACTAAATGTAGTTCAAAATTATGAACAGATATGAGAAAAAATATAAATATACAGAGAAAATATACAGAGTTTAGCAATCTAATTTTGAATAATTTGATAGGAAAAAGAATAGGATACAAAAAATTTTTTTAAATAGCCAGGAGGTGCAGGCAGAATATTATATATATACATATATGCCATTTTATTTTTAAGCTTAAAACATCTATTTACATGAATATTTTTATTCACATAATGTATCCATAAAGTAGCCAGAATTCTTATATAAATATTATGGACTGTCTGTGGGAAGGAGAATGGAATTTTTTAATGAGGGGCACATACTCTCATGCTTTTCCACACGAAAAGGTGCAGGCATGGTGAGAAGCCTCTCATTTGTTCTCGCCCACACCCTTGGAAAAACATCCTTGGCAACAGGGATACCAGTCACGGGTTCCTGCAGTAAGGACAATCTGGTTAGGGATCTTCACAGACAAGTATTTTCCCAGATTATCAACTGATTTCAACTATTTACAGGATATGTACTTTCATAAATTCCACTTTGAGCACTGACAACTGTTCTGATGATGTGGTTTTCATTCTTCACGTGGCTGAAAAAAATGTTATTTGTTTTTCCCTTAGTTCAAGACTGAACATTTCTTTGAAAACTATTTCCTATTACCACATCTAAGATGAAAAGTCAGGATCATTCATAGAGAACTTCTTTATCAGAAGAGAATAAATATGGTCTCAGAGGGACATGTCAATATCCTAAGATGCTTGGTTGTCACCACAAGGAGTAAGCCTTGCTGACATCTAGTGGGGATGCTGCTGAACACTATAATTCACTTCAGGGTTAACGTCCTCTAACTTGCAGATCCCAACAAACAAAATAAAACATGAGCTGGATGAAAATGTCATTAGTGCCATAGTTGAGAAATCTGCCTTAGAAGCACTTCAAAGTGCTTTGAACAACACCAAAAATTTCCTCTTTTGTATGTTGCAAAAGTGGTTGACATGTCTGTGTTACTCCCTGAACAGTTCTGCAGGCCTCTTAAGGGTACCCTCAGCCTTGAAGTGACTTTCAGGATAATCTCCATGCATGGTGTGTAAGGCTGAATAGATGCAGTTGATGTGACAGGGGAAAGAGGGCAGATAGAAAAACAAACAGCCATCTCCTTTTGTTCACATTGTTTCCCCCACACACTGAAAATTCTTATAACATATGTAGCTCTGTAGATTAAATTGTCCCCAGTTCCCATTGAACTTGTTCCTTGCTTCATAAGGAGAAGTGTATTTTTTTAAAGAAGCCCTCAAAGTATGGAATTTACTCAAGCATTCTCTAATTATAATAAGGATAAAACACAAATTTAAAGAAACTCATACTAAATTCCTTCTTTACAAATCTGTATTCTCCTACATATAACTATATTTCTCCCATATGAAAAGAACTCAAGTTTCCAGTGCCCAGAAAATTCTATTCATATCCATTCCACAAAACAAAGAAAAAAAATAAAGAACAGGGTATAACTAACCAAGCAACCTGTGAGATACATTACTTCTCTGTTTCTGAAGATACTATTATAAGAAATGTTACAGGCTTTATGTTTGAGGGTGACTCCTTGGTGCCCATGGTGCTTAAGCTTCTCAAACCAATCATTGATCTCTGTGGGATATCAACAGCAATATATCAAAAAACCTCTCTCTCTTGGGATTTTAACAATTATTACCATTATGGGATTTAAACTGGGGAAAACTAAACAATGTGGTGCATATTATCATAAGCTAGCAAAATTTAGTTCAGATTTCATGATCAATTGCAGCACATTGCATCTAGCATCTAGGCATTGTTTCTGTGAGCATGCACTCACATTGTCACTATGTGCACTTATATTACCATTGTGAAAATGTGAATAAAGGTTTGTCTGTATTAAATTCAACAGCTCATGTCTAAAAGACAGAGTCTGAAGCTACATTCAAGAACTACCAGATGCCAGGAATCAGAAAAAATACATCCAATATTGAGAATAATAGACATTGTTCATTTACTGAACATTTCCTGGATGCCAAGTATTATTCCAGGTAGAGCTAGTAATTCATTTCGTCTTTATAAAATTAAGTATGGTCATTGCTTTCATGCTGCCTTTACAAAAGAGGTAACTGAAGCACAGTCAGGTGTAACTTGCCCAAAGTCACACATAGATCCTCTGGTAGAAAAAGAACATGTGCCGCTTTTGTATTTGCAACACAGTACAACTGTGACAAGAGCACAACTGTGACAAGGACCTCTGGGAGAGCAGATTCTCTGTGCATTGCCAGACTTCACTAAATGTGGACCCCTCAAGTTCTTTCCTAACTTTACCATTTTGACCTGAAATATTAGTGCTCAAACCCAATCTGTTTACTCCTAGATACACCAAACTTTTCAAGAATTTTGTGAAAGTAATTAGTTAGAGGTAATCAGTTTCCAAATTCTCAAGAATCTGTATACCATTTTCTAAAAATGATCTAGCTAAGAGTGACCTAACCTGAGAAAAAATTCAGGATCTTCTTTTATACCTAGCACTGCCACAACTCTTTTTTTTTTCTTTTGCCATTCTTCAAATCAAGGGGTTTCTGTTATC